ATCAAAATCTTTTTCTCTCCCAGCGTGAAAAAAAACAATTTTTTTGGTTCTTTTAAAAAAAGTAAAAAAAATGGTAGGTCAGCGCTGAAACAAAAAAGTTTTCCACAGTCTGTCCATTAGGCAGTGTCCTCAGAAAATGTCCTGATATCTGATGCTTTCCCCCATGCCTTGACCTGTGACCTCATATTTCGCCTGGTGATGGATTTCCTGCCGCATTCACACCTATAAACCGAATCATAGAGCATAGGTCGAGCCATTAAGATTTGTGCCGCAATTCCGTATTTCCTTCTATAACATTAAATTTAAGGGGGAAATGATTCCCCCTCCGTTTAGCACATGCTTGATCAGAGAGAGAGAGAGAGAGGGAAGAAGATAAACTGACACTGTCACTGTATAGAAAAGGGATGGCAATATGTTTAGGCCTGTCCATGTTTTCAGGGCAAGCTATTCACCGATGACTACACTTCACACTCCTGGCAAATCCTCCATATGCTAATACACTCCATATGTCATATGCTCCATATCCTTAATATATCCTCCATATGTCGCTATATCATGGTTAAACACACTTCACCAAACGAATCTCACCTGAAAGTTTGCGACCAAGCTGACTCCCAACGCCGCAACAACGCCCAGCACGAGCGATATCTTGTTGAGGCGAAGGAGAGCACGTGGACCCTCTCTGTGGTACTCTATCGTTTGCCGATATCGCACGTACACCGACAGCCCAACTGCAAACGGAAACCATCGTAAAACCAGTGCATGTTGCTGACGCTGAGAGAGTCTATGTCCCCCAGGGTACTGCCGGAACGTACCCTGGTACTATCTAATATGCCGGACCGTACCGCGCCTACTCCACTAACGAGTCTAGGGAGTCGCCTACGCCTACTCCATAACCCTAAACCTAACCATATCAAATAGTTACCAGGGTACGTTCCGATATACCGGACCGTACCCAGGGTACGTTCCGGCAGTATCCTGGGGGACATAGACCTTATGAGCGTCGCTGACCGTAACTACTAGAATTGCCATGTACAGTCAAACCAGTACATGAGGGCCAGCTCGGAAAAGTGACAAATAAGGCTTTTCTAGACAGGAGTCTGTTCTAAAGCGTTGGCTGCTAAGTTATACTAAGACAAGTTTGACTGTAGGTAGCTTTGAGGGGGGTTATCCACGAGGATACATCTGAAACATTTCTCGTTTAATTTCTTCACGTCTTCTGCGCTTATAGTACTATTGTGTTATCCTTAGTACTTATATATTATATTATGTAATAGTTATAAGTACTGTACAGAATAGATTACGTATGTCATGTTATCAGGAGTCTATCAATATTACAGACTCCTGTTGTTATGTATGTATGATCAAACGAATACTCACTCAGTACGGCACTAATGTTGAGTAGTTGACCGAAGATGCAGCTCTCCGGAGGTTCTGTCCCAGTGTCACTAGATTAATATGTGCACACATGGTGATGATTATTAAATTTTGGGCAGGTATCACGAGCACCTGAGAGCTGGGGGGTGGTATTATATCAATCATTGCACGGCCTCATCATTTCTTACCCTCAAAAAGAGGGAGTCCGCAGCAAAATGAGGGAGTCCGCAGTCTGAGGTTCAAAATTAAAGATATTAACAATAACACATGTGCTTATCTTTAAGATTCATGCGGTTGCACGTCTGCCAAATTTTCTTTGGACATTAGCTGAAAAAATACGGTAATTCCACGAGGCCGTGCTCCGGAACGAACTAGTTAGTATGGCAGAATTTTCAGGGAGTCACACGAACTCCTGCATATGTCAAATCAGGGAGTCCGACAGTAAATCAGGGAGTATTTGACTCCGGACTCCCGTTAATTTTGCATCCTGTTGTATAGGTAATATCATGAACACACATCTATACAATATACGTATTGTTTTGCATGCTCATGGTATTACCAGAACATGGAATGGTGACTACACCATGTATGTATAAACACCTAGTTCATGAACACACACATATATATATAACGTATATATGTCTATGTATAACGTGATGTATACATAATATGATGTATACACGTAGTCACGTTGCGTAAATAGCAAAGAAAGAAATGAATGTCGCATCGTCGTTGATGAATTAGGAATTGCGTGCTTCCAATGCGTCGATATAATATAAAAGTTACCTGATGTATGGAAATGCAGGTTCCACATCTCCCCGTGCTATCGCTATAACATACCTGTGAAATAACCATAAAAATTAAACCAACCCAAGTGTCGCGAATGTGTGAGCGAGTTTATACTCTATGGAGTCCGGCTAGAGTTATGGGAGTTCATTTAGACATGTGCAGTGCAGTAAGCACGCGGGGAAAAGGAAATGAAAGTGTCAATGACACTGTAGCTCACCTTGGGTGTGATAGAAGAGGGAGGGGGATATATAAAGCAAACAGTTATATATGCGAAACCTCCCATTATAATATTAGCATATATCCCATATATATACACCCGTAATGCATATACAGGCCGTAGCCAGGGGGGGTCGGGCTCCGGTTTCCGGGCGTTCGAACGAACCCCATCCCCCCCCCGCGAGAGTCCGAGACACCCCCTTGCTCGTGCCAGAAAACGCATCTGAAGGGGTGTAATTTTTAAAAAACTTGTTCGGTGGAGGGGCCCCCAGACCCCCCCCTTTGGCATGCTCGCCAACTTTGGGTTACAGTTAGCCCCCCCCCCCCCTTGGTAAGTCCTGATACACGCCCCTTGCCGAGCAAATTGCCAACATTGAACAAACGGAAAACCCCCCCAATATAAAGGCTGGCTAGGGCCTGTGATATATGGCATTTAAAGTTTTTGATGCCCAAAATAAATGTTTCAGATCTGAAATTAGCTGAATCTTGACGAGAGATGGTGCCTACGCCTAAATGATCCGCCATTTTGGTGTTTCGAATATCGCGCAAATAAAACAACTAAAATATTCCCAGTCAAATTACTGGTAACGAAGAGATCTGAACACACACTTACACGTATTATAGGTAATGATTGTAGCAAAGCTTAAGATGTCGACCAGTTAGATGAAATAAACGTAATAGGACGTTGTCATCTCTCCCATAGGCAGTAAACAACTGTTCTTGGGGCTTAGCCTTACACATATCAGCATACCAAATTTAACAAAAATCGTAAGGAATTTAGATGGCCATTTCCATTTTTGCCAACAAGTGGGCGTAGCTCGAAAGTAGGTCAACTGGCACGCCATAAAATAGGACGTTCACATCTCTCCCATAGGAGTAACAACTGTATGCAATTTGAAACATGTGGGTCAAACGGTTCTTGAGTTATCGTTGACCGTAGGCAGACACTGAAATGCATAGTGAAATTGCCAAAATCTACCTAATTTGCATAATTTAAAAAAAATATCAAAACCCGTTTGATATGTTTTGGGGCCAGTCCTTATTCATTCACATACTAGAAATGAACAAAATCCGTTGAACCTGAATTGACTTATAGCCATTTCCATTTTTGCCAAAAAGTGGACGTGGCTCGAAAGTAGGTCGACTCGCGTGCTCCAAAATAGGACGTTCAAACCTCTCCCATAGGAGTAACAACTAAATGCAATTTGAAACATGTGGGTCAAACGGTTCTTGAGTTATTGTTGACCGTAGCCAAATGTTGACGGACGAACCGACGGACGACACGCCATGGCAATAGCTCATCTTGACGATGTCAAAGCGAGCTAAAAATGGAGTTTGTAAGTGAACGGAGAGAAAAGTAAGCAATACAAACCATGCATGGACTATTTCATGAAAAAATTAGTTGTGTTAAATTCGTATATATGTCAGTATGTCTTCGACGAAACAGTATGCATTCCACTATATATACCAAGCCCCACTACCTCTTGTTGCTTTGGAAGTTGTTCTTCTACCTTTAAGTCTGACACTCAAGTATGTTCGTGGTAATTAAATGTCATAGTGTTCGAAGTACAAAATCAAATACAAATGTACTATATTATTATTTACATGTACTCACGAGATTATAAAGGTGAATGGTACCAGAATGGAGACAGACAGCGGCAGCAAGTATAGGTATCCCATCATGCTCGGCTTAGCTGTGGTTTAGCTGCCTACCTCATATAAGATCTAGACAACAAAAGATGACAGTTTAAACACAATTAAGAGTATACAGAGTAACACTATATCCCTCTCCCTTGATTTCACTATCTAAAGGTCTTTGCTCCCCCTTCCCACTTTTCATCGACGTGGATATTCGTCCGAGCGTCGGACACCTGTTCCTATGCGCTATTCGTCCAAGCAGTTGTTGCGCATGCGCTGTTCATGTTGCATGCCGCAGGCGCACGGCACGAGTGCCTTAGGTAGAAAGTGAGAACGGGGGGTCTTGGGGGGACCCCCCAGACAATTTTTAAATCTAGACGCTCTAAAATGCTATTTACCCTTTTTGCCCTTGCGTTTTGCTACGGCAGCCCTACGGCTGTGACGCTCCTGCATACATGCGTTGCGTATGTGGTTATACACCATAGATAGTGTTTGGTACTATCACTCGTGTGTATATATACGAAACCGAGCGTATAATAAGAGAACTGAGTCGTTTTATAGTTAGTATTAATAGGGTTAGGGCTGGGGTTAGGGCTGGTGTTAGGATTAGGGTTAGAGAGTAGGATCCTCCCTATTTTAGCATTATATTACATTTATGTATTATACAACATGAACAGCGCAGGGGATTAATTGGTAATTTGTGCATTGAATGTAGGAGTGTGTGTATTTGTCCGTTATTGTGGTCAAGTTGGAGTCTGGGAGAGAGAAAACACGTGAGAAAGAGAGAGAGAGAGAGAGAGAGAGAGAGAGAGAGAGAGAGAGAGAGAGAGAGAGAGAGAGAGAGAGAGGAAGAAAATAAGAGTGAAACAGAGAGGGGGCGAGAATGAAAGAGAAACGCAGAGAGAGGGTGGGGGATCGAGAAAGAAGTAGAGAGAGGGATCGGTGCCCTAATAATGAACTGAAACTGCTTTCACGTTTTTACCAGCAGATATACTTTCCCTCACTCACCGTTGGCCACCTCTCCCCCACCTCTCCTTACCTTGGCCTTACCTCAGACACCACCTTTCCGGCGACAATGACACTGATCGAGCCACTCTCACGTAGAAAATGAAGACGCGTCCAACGTGCAATTTCTAGCGGCTTATTTTTATCGTTGTTTACGTACGCTTATGTACTCATTAGATTATAATAATCTCTCTCGCTCTCTCTATCTCTGGCCACACTATGTAACTTCAGGCCACACTTTCTAAAAGATGTTTACACATACGTGCCGCCATCTAGTAGTGACAAAAATAGTAGTGATACCTGTAATTATTTTTCTTTTACTACCCAATACACTGTACATGCACAAATCTTCCCTGTATCCCTTGTCACTCACCGGCAATGATGTTAGGTGTTGGATTGTCTTCATCGATTAATAGTCAAGATTAATAAACGAAATCAAATAGAAACTGATGAAATCAGATGACAGCAGACTTACTAACACAGTACACAAAATGGTTCGAAAACAACTTTAGTTTTACTCAAACGTATTTCACAAGATATACAGAGCATTAAACAAACCCTGTGACATACGGAAATGCCCGCTACGTACGGCACAATGTATCTCAATTTTATTTTAAAGTGACCCCACTAACAGACATTATCATGAATTAAGCTTCCTCGATTGCGAAATTTCATTTTTTAGGCAGCATAATTGTTGCTGTGGTTTAAATAACTAATATACAGTACTCGACGATAATTGATAAATACTAGATCATAACCGACTGCAACGAACGAACGTGAACGCACGTAACATGAACACATGACAGGGCTGCCAACTCTCACGCATTGACCGTGAGACACACGCATTGACCGTGAGACACACGCATTGACCGTGAGACACACGCATTGACCGTGAGACACACGCATTTTGACCAAATCTCACGCTCTCACGCTGATCTTACAATATCTCACGCACAGCAAATAAATGCTGAGATATCTCACGCATGAATATCTATTTCTTCATGAATAAAACGCTGAAATATCTCACGCACAGCAAAAAAATCTTACAATATCTGAAAACAGTCACTTTAGTATGCACCAAATTGCACAAATTGGTGCATTCCCCCCCCCCCCCCCCCCCCGCTCGGTCGCTTCGCTCCCTGGCATCTCACTCTCACCTATCACCCAATGTTGACAGCCCTGACATGATCATAGCACAAAGCTGTGTAGAAAATCACGGGGTGATAGTCCATTAGAAGTGTTCCCAACTTAAATGTCATTAAAGTGATTACGTCACCGTAAATATTAAAAAATAAAAAAAATATTTCCACTTTTTCGCAAAATATAAGTAATTCTGTTCACTTTTTATGGTTAAATTTCTGCATTATACTTCTTATTTTACTATATTGTTCGATGTGAACATACACTCGTGACTCATACATAGCCCGTAGCAAGCAATTAATGTCAGGAACACAATATCAAATCGTCCAGGTTTTTTGGATTTTTAACTAGTTGAGAAACAATCTTATCAGGTAAGAATTTGACGATACGTTTAGTACTTACTTTTAATGTAAAAAAATGACAACAAAAATTTTACACATTTTACCATAGAAAATTCGTGACGTAGTCAATTTAATGGTCATAATAATATATATATATATATATACATATATATATGGTCATGGTCATATATTAGTTTGTGGTTTAATGTCATTTAGGTTAGAGTTAGGGTTAGGATTATCAAACATTAATCATTAATGATATCAAAGTTGGGAACACTCCTAATGGAGCGTTAGCCAAATCACGTTCCACCTAAGGCTTTTGTTGTAACCACGTTATCGTAACGCGATACACAAAAGACACAAAGAATGGAGTAGAAAGAATTGATTACACTGCGGCGCGCCGCTGTGGATGGAAAGGAAATACTACACGTGACGATATAAATAGAGTACAATTGTGTTTCAAGTATCTGAGGTGGGAGGGGAAGTGGCAGGAGCACCGCTGAGTTTATAAATTATAGTATAGTTATATTATAGTTTATATCAATACACATCTTCCAATTCACCTCACACGCCAAAGCATATTCGTCGATCGATTTGCGAGGCGGTATTCGCCTGATGCCTCTTCTCCTCAGCGACGTCAGCGCTTCGCGTGCTCCCGTCACAACGACATCAGCAGTCCGCCTGCACGCGTCTCTGTGAAGTCATCGCTTTGCGCGCTCGCGTCACAACGACATCGCCATGTCGCAGAGCAGCGGCGGCGACAACGCGAGGTGCGCTCGCTTGAATCCCGGCGACGACCCGTAGTGCAGGAAGTCGTCCTCCTCCTCTCCCTCCTCCCCGTCCTCCTCCTCCATCTTTTTCCTCCCCTTCTCCGCGTCGGGCTTGCTCAGCTTGAACTCCCTGTAGAGTGTCGGCGTGGCGACGAAGCGGCGCGACTTCGGGAGGACGTACGGCTCGAAGGGGAAGAACGACGCGAGAGCGTCGGCGAGGGACGCACGAGAGTCGCGCGCGACCGGGATCGTGTTTCTCGCGTTGTGTTCGACGACCGTGTAGCAGTATGCGATCTGCAGCGCGCGCGTAACTGACGCGAACTGTAGGACGACGGCCGCCGGGCAGACGGCGAGCGGGTTCAGCTGGCACGTGACGACGCGCTGCAGGTTCAGCGATCGCAGCCACGCGTGCCCGCCGGGCGATCGCGCCAGCTCCTCGTGCCGGAACGCGACGACATAAAACAGCGCCTGGCACGCGGCGTAGAACGCGAGGTGGGCCGCGCGGTCTGGCCGCGCGAGCGCGTCGACGCCGCCGTCGATGTACCGGTGGATCCACGCCGCCATCGCCGTGAGGACGGTACGTACGGTCGCCGCGGCGACGTAGCGGGCGCGCACGAGCAGCGAGGCGGCGTACGCGGCGCAGTTCTGCCGCGCGACGGCCGACGCGTTCACGTCGAGGAAGCCCTTCCAGAGAAGGTCGAGGAAAGCGTCGGCGAGCGTCGGACGGAAGCTGCAGATGTAGAAGGCGAGGTACTGTACGTGCGACGACTCGTGCGTCGGGAGAACGACGCGCCGGAAAGCCGCCGCCAGCTCGCGGTACAGCGACGAAGCCGCTTTCCAGTTCAGCGTCTCTTCGTCGCCGTTGTGCTGCCAGCAAGTGGCGTGGATGTAGGCAAACATGACGTACATGAGGTCGTCGAGACAAGCGAACAGCTGGCCCTTGTCCGACGTCTGCAGCTTCGTGTCGGCTGAAATTGCCGAGAGAATGAGCGTGAGATTATGAATACTAAGAGGACGGGTGGAGGAGGAGTAGGGGGAGAAGGAGGAGGCAAAGAAGACGATCAATAACAAGAATAACAGTAACAGCAACAACAAAGACGAAAAAGAAGGAGAAAGGGAGAAACAAAGATGACCAACAACAACAACAACAACAATAAAAACAACAACAAAACAACACCACCAACAAGATAAAAAAAGAACAAGAAGATAAAGGACGAAGAGTCAGAGGAAAAAAGGAGGAGAAGAAGCCTAGAACAATAATGCAAAGAAGACGATCAATAACAAGAACAACAACAACAGCAGCAGCTGCACGCAGCAACATCGCACCCACCCACATGAAGCTCTTCCATCTCGAATATCTGATCGTCGTCGTCGTCAGGCGTCGTCATGGCGACGCTCCTCGCCCGCATCTCGTCGACGTCGCGCCGCGTCAGCAGCGCGTCGATCTGCAGCATCCGCGCGACGACGATGGCGACGACGTCGCCGCGCAGAGCGGGGAGGTACGTCGTCACGTGGAGCGCGTTCTGAAGGAAGCACGTCTGCGTGTGCGGCGCGCGCGTCCGGTGCGGGTAGAGCGCGCTCAGCTGCCCGAGGATCACGGCGGGAGCGAGCGGGACGATGCGCACGACCGCGCGCCGGAGCGCGTGCGCGCAGAAGCGCGTGCCACCTCGTGTGTCGCGATGTCGCCAGGGGGCACCACGGGAGCAAACGAGGCGACGAAGCTCGCAACGCACAGCTGCAGGTGGTAGCTGTGCGCGGAGACGAGGTGCACGACGTAGCCGCTGTGCGGAAAGATGAGACTTGACTACAAGAGTCGACGAATACATCAAGAGAATCCGACTTTGATTGAGATGCTTTATTAACGTATCAACCGTATCAACGGTAGCTAGCATTCAATTCTGCAAAAACCAAATACTTACATGTCTTTAATATATGAGCGTGCTAACAATTCTCATATTCATAGACACCATAAATTACCTTATCGAAATTATGCAAATTGCTAATTATGCCTGAATCATAGTAGATGCTAACTTACTGTTCCGCCGGATCTCTTAAACACCAGCTCCGTGAACAGAACAGCCTTACAACCTGAACAACAAATGTTAAAGTGATTACGTCACCGTAAATAGTAAAAAATAAAAAATATATTTCCACTTTTTCACAAA